CGTCTTATAATACACATGCTACCGGAAACGAGTTTTACGCCTTTGGGTTATCCTTTTTGAGACGCATTACTCGACGGACGTCAAAAAATACAGGTATGATCACTGCGGTTACAATATAAGTTTTTTTCACAGATTAGAATAATTCCCATCTGTCATTCACACGAATGAGGAGTACAGAAACCTTCGTACCGGTCCTTATCGAATTAGCGTGCATCTACCTTGGAGGCCTAATCTAAAATGTTGCACATTTGACTGTGGCCCTGTCAAAACGATATTTTGTGCAGCAATAAAATAGATAATTTTCATAGATGTTATTATTAGCGGAACTATCGCATGTTTCTTTTTTCAGATAGAGTAATTCCTGTGGTCCTATTTATTATTAGAGAATAACCTATTGCAATTTACGTCCAGTCGCCATTTGCAGCGGAAATACCATTTATTCAAACTAAATGTTGTCATGTTACGATCGTCTCTTTAAATAACTTTATCCGTGAGCAAAGTAACGCTGACTTTTCTTGTGACGGAGATAAGATGAAAAAATGGACTGTTTCATTCTTCGCTCCGAACGTATTCTGTATCGCGAAGGACAAAAACGTCTGGCCAATCCCCACAATTCGCGACAGATCCGTTATTGCCAATACTACTTACTCCCCAATGGTAATACAGAGAAATACAGAACTAGCTCATGCTTTGCACCGGCAAATTTGGCTCAAGGAAAGCCAATTGATAACCAGAAACAGAATCACGCAGTCGAGGCATCCATCGCGTAACGGGGCATGAACACGCGCCTATCAAGCCATTTTGGTTGAGTCAAATCTACAAAGGATAATATTAAAATTCATAACTTACTTTGTTGACGTCTGGTTTCATCACTATTATCGCATTTTACTCGCCGCTTCTGCGATGCGGGAGCTGAATCGCGTACGAAACATCGCTCAGCTAGCAAATATATATATAACATTTTTTTACGGTACCCCTTGCGTAACTGGGTCTGTTGCTCAGAATTTTAGTTCCACAGGAAGAAATCAGCATGGGGGCATTTCTCTTAGGATGATGTCGTCTGTGGTCAAATGGAGTCCTCTATAATGTTTGCATTAATAATCATCCAAAAACACCCGACATGGACTAAATCAAGTTAAACGTAGAACTTTGGTAGTCACCTCCGTCTTAAGTGCTTTTGCATGCTACTTCAGTTGCAACGTACGGTGTTCACTGTTTTGTATTACATGCATATGTATGGTTAAGTAAACTAATTAAGATTGCATTCATAATTAACATCTGACATTAGAAGGCATTAGACTTATGTCAGCTAGATAGTTTATTTGTTTAAATGAGACTTTAACCGTTAGAGCTGTGTTAGGATTCGGCTAGTACGTGAGTTCTTCTAATTATTAAGGTATTCATGACATTAGAAGCAGTTTCTTCATAGCTCATAGAGCAGTTTACTCATAGAAGGTCATCTACCGCTATAGGATCACCACTAATAATCATAAAACCAGGTTATCGCCGGCATGCCTTCGAAAAACCATCTCCATTGTTGTGTACTACGCAGTTCACCGAAAAATCCAAAACGCCTCAAATATTGACGCATCTGAAAATGGATTGTTCAATTGTGGATCATCATTCATATGAAATGTGATAATCGGCTGCAGACTGTGTCATCTAGTGGCGCTGCAGGAACAACAAAGTTTCACCTAGGGGGGTACGTTCTTTAAGAAAATAAAGCTTTTTATCATGTTGAAGTCCATGGTAGTATGCCTCTTTCTGCCGCCACATCCAGCCATCCAGATACTTGAAATATCTTTCGTTACAGACTTTGCCGGCGTTGTGCGCTTGAAAGACATAAAATACGCTGGTTCTTCACTGCGTCACTCTTGAGGCTGCGAGATGAGGAACCTGTGTCCTAACAGGCTTGAAGTATATTTTTCATAGACCCATTTTTTTAATAATAGATCAAGTAACTTTTAAAGTCGTTACTTCATACAGCCGAAAGCAACGATGCGTACTGAACTTGTAAGTAATGTGTATGCACGGGGAGCGTCCGAATCAAAGTACGAAAGCAAGATCGAATGCGCTGATCTCATACGCAGTGCCTACCATCCCTCAGCCTATATTCGTATGTTACTGATCTTTTCGAAATGTATGTATCCGAAATGCACATTTTTTTCGGCATCTATTGCGCCCATTTTAAAAACTAAAGCCATTAGCTGCTTCATATTATTATCAGCTCGTTCCGAATCCATCTTGTTGGAGAAATGATAGGAAATCGCTCCGCTTTGTGACCTTTTGGCTTGGACAGCTTTTTTGTAGAGGTGGACAGTTCCCTTCGTGCTTACCTTCAAATGTACTACATACAACCCCTCTCGTAATAAGGATAAATTTAAAAATGAGGATATTCTAGGAGAAGCTGGACGGATCTAGTCAGCGCTGAGGGTGCCGCCAATCGAACTTTCAAGCATTATTTGATATTGACAGCCCTGCTAATAAGCAATGCCAACGAATATACCTATACAGAAGCTGTACGGATCGCATCTTTAACATACTGATAAACACCCTAGTTCCAGCCATGGTTAGACCAGCCATTCATATACATGTAGATAGACAGACGGCAAGTCCCCGAAATAACCGCAGTGACGCAATAAACTGCCCCAGAGTTAGATACACACCAAATAGTGCGTGATACGGGGGAACCATGCGCTGTGTGAGCGGCTGATGTCTGATATGAACTTTTGAGATGGGCATTGACAATCTTCAAACGCTGGCGATCGAACACTTCCGGCTTCGTCGGTGGACTACGAAACATCATTGTTTGTTAGTATGGTGCCCACAAAACAGACGTACGAAAATACGTTTTTGTGACTTAACGAAAGAAAACAGCTAATTTAAAAAGTAGATTTAATACAATTGTTCTTTAACAGATTGTTAGGTGTTTTCTTGCCTTGAAATTCAATGGCATCAAATAGACTATAACAAGACACTGGTATCCACTATTGGCCCACTAGCATAATGGGTACAAGATTTGTACAGCTTAGGTTAACTTCAATACTTGTAATTCAAATAAAACTTCTTCTAGAGCATCGTTGGATGTATCATTATGTAGATTAGTGGTTTTATTTTCAAGCATATAACATAATAAGCTCTTATACAACATCATATTGTTCTCTATTTAGTTTACTAATTCTCATCGTATAAATTCCATTTAATAGCTACTCCACTCGATATATAGATATAATGCTCATTTGTGTAAAAAGATACGATGTGTTTTATACTGTATTATATGATCGCTTTAGTATAATATTATGTATAGAATAAACCTAAACGAGTACTCTGTAGGATCCCATAGGTAAGCATTTTGAGCTTCTAAGTGAGCAGTTTAGGCGAGTGATTTCTAGCAACAAAGCAACCATTTCTAGAAATACAAGAGAAATCAAGATAAAGCTTGTGAATTATTTCGACGGCTTTGACCGAATAGTTAGTAGTGAGCAACTTCGTATAGTTCGGCGCACTTCTCCTACTGAACCGGCGTTCTTTCGAATCAAAAAACCCTGATTAGAATAGGTAATTACAATCATAACAGTATCAAGGTCAGACCCAACAACTTCCACTACATTGTATAGTTGATATCATGAGTCGAAAAATGATGTTTGGCGGCCAGTCTTTTAACAAAATCAGTCGCTTACGACAGTTTTGAGATCAAGTAGAAAAACTGTTAGAGAGATATCGTAGCGGCATCGAAATCGCTGCTGCTCGTCAAATGCAACCCATTTGGGTATGTGGGCTACCGCACACTATACCCTGCTTAGTTTGAGAAAATCAATGATTTTGTTGCCGCCCATAGGGATTCAGTTTCTAACGTTACCATGCGTCTATAGCCTCGACGAGTGTAAACCTCTGCTTCGTCGATTTCTATTTAAGTGATAGTACCGAAGCTGAACGTTCACACGATATTTGATTGGCAATTGAAAAATGAAAGAAAAAATGCTGAGACAGCTTAAATTGATGGGACGAAGTTCACCAACCCACTAATGGTTACCGTTTTTCAATATAAGATTTCTGTTAGTCCACGCTCTATCTGTGTGCGCTAGCTATAACAGTGTATGAGCGGTAATCTTTGGTCGTGCGGAACCGAAGTAAAAGCACTATTAAAAATCTAAAGGCGCTGCCACCCGTAAGGCCCTCCTCTCAAACCCTCTCGGATCTTTTAGTACCTAATTGCTTACGCCGTCAGGAATTCACTAGGTCCCCACGCCACTGCCTCGATTTTAGTCCGATGCGTCCGTCGTAGACTTCATTCCTGATGCTGATGGGAACCAGACTAAGCGACCCATTCGGTCGGCCAGCGCAATCCGCAGGTGATGCGCCAACGGCGAGGCCACTTGGAGATGAACGGAGTGAGTTAGCTACGGCCGGGGTTGTATATTGCTTTTGCCGTCCCAATACGATCTCCCCAATCATTCGGATGGCTGATTCCGAAGCGAGTACTTCCGTTCAGTCTAAACTGTTTACCTTCTTTTCCTGACCTATCTTCTCACAACGCAGATACCGCACCAGCTGCCTATCCAATGTCCTTGAGCGATGAAGGAGCTCTTCACAGAGCTCTCTTATGCCAGTCGGTAGGCCACCAGAAGCAAACTTCGCGAGTCAAGATTGTTATAAAAGGAAACGCTTTTCTTGGGGGTCTTTTTCTAACCCCAAGATAGCTTGCAGGTTGTCTTTGGTTGAATGACCTTGCAGTTGGCTCTGCATTGGATCGACTTTGTGCTACACACCAGGAACGCGACAATTATAAAAACAGACAATGGCCTTTTCGAAAAAATTGAACCGAAGTCGAGCCAATAAAACCCATTCCAGGCCTGTTTACTGTTGAAAGTTGACCAGAACCCATTCAACATCGCTGCTAATTATTGAAATAGTGCATCATTTTTGGTTAATTTAGTTCTTCATCTTATCGGGCTCCTATTAGAAACTAGTATACAATTTACTTTAGAATTACATTGAGAATGATTTCGCATAGTATTGCAAAAACGAAGCGACTCTTTTCTTAAGAACGTAGGACTTTTCTTTGACACGAGTGGTATTATATGCGTGATAAGTATCAAAAGACTCCCAATATTCTATTTTTGTAATTAATAACGGACCCCGTCTGTGGTCCTGAAGAGATGGCGAATCTTTCGAACTTGGTGAGTCCAACAGATTGCATCTTCTTATGGTCTTCACCCTACACAAGTATAACAAACGACTAATAATTTTTCTCGAATATACCGTTTCAAATCATATCGCACATATACGACTCGGAAAAGAAAATAGAGCATCGAATCGGAACTTCCATGACAGTGATCTACCTGGGCAGAGTTTGCCATTGAACCTCAGTAGCTTCATGCAACAATACATGTTACATAAGATGTCACGAAAAAGCGCAAGACACAAAAACATGATCTAAATCACTGACAAAAATCACGAACAAACCGTATTTGATTTACTACCAGAAAAACGTTACTTTTAGATTTCGAGTTGATGCTTTGCCGGGTCTAACGTACGAATTTAACCCCAATCCGGGACATTAAACAGATATTAGGGACAACCGGATTGACACTAGCCACAACGAGTATCATGCTCCTATCGATCGTGTACGCGCCGTCTCCTGTTCGATGGGCTCAGCCAACCAATTCCAGTTGGAGAGTTGTGGAATTATGCAGATTCGCCCTTTATGGATTTATCGCTGTGCTTGGACTTTTTGGTGGAAGCATCGCTCTACAAATTAAACAGAACAGGTAAGGAACTACGATCAGAAACGTTTAACTTTATGAATTATCTACTATTCATAATTTTGGACTTAATCAGTAAAATGGAAGAGAGATTTTTATAGTCCAATAAAAACAGTTGTAGGTGTATTTCAAGTCTACTTTGGGATCTGAACTGAATTAGAATGCTTCGAATGACAGGCACCGTATAAAATATTTGAGAAGATTTACTAATTGAACTTTCTTAATCGAGGCTATTTGTACGGTGCGCTCAGGTCTTGGGCGAGTGCTAGACAAAAACTGTCACTTCAATTTTTTTTTTATTGGTCTCATATTCATTTAGGTTTTAAAGAGTAATATAACTTGTGTAGCTTTGTTTGTTGTTGATAACTTCTAACGCTCTTGTCATCTTCAAATGCGAAAGCAATGCTGAGGTATCTTAATTTGTGTCGATGTTTACTTCATCCAACGTAACCCACAGTATTTTCTTGTTGTATCCCTGCGGTGGTTGATCTGAGTCAGGCAGTAGATCAGGCCGCTGGAAAGAAGTATTAAACTGCCACTATTGGCTTTGATAATTTTTCAACCTATCTATGGCCATTTAGGTCGAAAGTTATTCGATTCAAAGCAGGAAGTTTATTTCAGATCATCCTGTGGCCTAAATACTAGAACAAACCATGTTAAACTAATTCGAGGAGCTGAATTGTCACGTCAGCACACGGACATAACCTCTTCATAGAACCTGAAAATATATTGACATCTGCCATGGTACTGCGATGAGCTTCATCATACAATGTATTTATTCAAAATGAGGAAAACAACTTATTTCACAAGAATGCATGCTATTTTTAGAAGTAACTTTTTAATTTAATAATTAATCATCATTTTTTTAAGTAACTTAAAAGTAAGTTGGAATAGATACCAAGTATTACACAAGGCAAATGTATACATTAGCTGAGAGCAATTTGGCATCAAATATTCCCTTCTGCCAGTATCAGGGTGATAATCCGATATACCAGAGTGCTAAGCGGCCATGTCCGACTAGCAGCGCTCTCAACAGCAATGATTTAAAAAAAGCAATAAATATGAATTTGAAATTCTTACCACGTTAGAGCGGCTTTATTGGGCGTATCTAAAATATCCAAACGGCCACATTTTTAGCCAGGGCAATAGTACGCATTTGTGATATTATTACGAATAGTTTTTTTTTTCTATTTTTCAAAACGCCTTTGTGTCTATAATTTTTCGAACTATCCTCTTGAAATGCGTTTGAATCCATTGTCAACATCCTGAGTGGTTTTTTTTTTCACATATAAAATTATATTTCTTTATATAAAAAAATATTCACAACTGTGTTAATAAGATCTCCATCATTTTTCTTTGTTTAAGTGATAATGATTGAGTTGATGCATTCTGCCGAATAAAAACAAGTCTTACGGCAAACTTGCCTCTCAACAATGAATGCAAATGTACTACAAGTTAATGCTCTCATTAGAACAAATGTTACAATGTAACTTAATATAGAATCACAGTATGACGCTCCGATTGAACATAAAAATAAGAGTAAATGATCCGCACTTAACGCTGAGCCTCCTGGAGGAAGCCATATCCATTACTACCACATTGGTGCTACGTGGGTTGGTTCTCAGAAGTGTCGTAATGCTAGGCGGGAGTTTCAAGGGACTTCCTATGACGGTTTCAGCGCTCATCATGTCAAGTTGTAGTCAAAATTTGTGAATACTAAACTTGTTATGCCTAGATGGGCCTATAGAGCCTCCGCTTATCTACGTTAACATGCCTGTATATCAATTTCCTTAAAGAAAATGTTAGTCATTACGTAATATCTGGTATGGATTTATTTAAGATGCGCAAACGACTTTATCATAAGGTAAAGCTGTCGTTTAGTTATTATTAACACTTTGTATTTTCGCGTGCTCCTAAAATGCAGGATGCGCATCAGTAACTTTTCTATTCTATAGGTTGGTTGAATAAAAGAACGTGTTTGATCGGACGCTCTTTTTTAAGTTAATTCACAGTAAATATTCAAATGTACTGAAAGGACTAGATACTTAGACTGCCGCCATTGCGGGCTGGGTCAGTGGGAATCGTATAGTGACGTGCGTTCGAACCATTTGACGAGATACAGATTGATGCAAATCATTAAGTTGATCAAGCAGTTTAACAAGACCGATTATCGTTACATACGCTCTTTAACATATGATGCCCTCATGAAGATAATGTTTCTCTTGCCTGGACGAGGCACTGTGTCAAGATGATGTATCCAAGGTAAACTGCCGTATTCGGAAAATAATAATTTAAGTTTTTACCGAGTCAGACAAATACAAAGCGTTTCGTCGCTTAGTGTGTGTATATAGGGAAGATTACCGAGTACGCGTTTGCAACTGTACTCTGCATAGATATGTTTGCGTACGGCTGCTTGTCTAACTGGATTATGATTGAAAATTTATACCCAAAAACTTAGTGCATATGTTTGCAGGAGATTAACTCCACGCCTAATTTCTGCGCTGACGGTTTTCTCCATCCACTGTGTTCTCGCTATTGTTGCGTTATCAGTTGATGCTTACGTCGAGATCCGATCTAGTCGCGATGCGCGCATAGCGCTTCCAGAGGATCTGAAATTTGCGATGTACCAATACATGATCGACGATGAGACGAGGCCTTCTGTAGACTCACTTCATTCTGAGATGAACTGTTGTGGAGTTAATAATGTCAGCGACTGGTCATCTATGACCATTGGAGCGCAGATGTTGTTCGTATGAGCTTTTATCGATTATCTTTATCGCATCCGGGTTGTGTATATAGGCTACTAGATATAGATGATAGGAGACGGTTAGGTGTTACCGTATTTAACCTGCAACTCGAGATACTAGAGCTTGCGTTTCTTTGTTGCTTTTTTTAACTTTAATATTTCGTCATTACCACGGTAGTTCTTCTCTGCCGAAGATTGCTATGAAAAGTTGTTAGCTACAAGTTGAACATTTCTAAGTTAACTAATGAGAATACTAACCTAAAGCAGCATTTCAGTGAAGTAAGTTGACCACATACGTTCTGTCTGAGCAGTGACAACCCGGTGGAGGCAACGCGTGCGTATGTACCTCGGTCATGCTGCGCCCATGAGAGGGCAGGCCGTTGTACAAAGTTTCGCACAAAAGGCTGTTATCCGGCTCTTATGAATGCCATACAGGTAGCTATACTGGAAATTTTGGCGAACATCAGTTTTTTTAAATCGAATGTTAGATGGAATCTGCTTCATCAAACAGCAATAGTCACTGTAGACCTCCATTAATAAAATTACTGTCTACGAAGAGGACGTTAACAGCGTAAAGTGCACATGTAAACTGCGCATTTTTTAAGCGAAAATCTCGGACGAAAGCTCGGAACTTATGGTTCCCCGATTATTTAGGCAAGAGTTTTTCGCATTAGATTACCTTCCACTATTCCTATTTGGGGTAACTGAAAAACTCTTTCACGAATTAACAAATCCTAAATCTAACTTTATTTAGTAAACATATCTCATATAATATATTATACAGCTAAAGTAATATAAGCGTATACTCCCTCTAAGATTGTTCTGAAATAAGTAAATTCAAATAAGCGTCAAGCAAACTTGAGTGTTAAAAAATTGAATCTTCTTCATTACATTGTATCAACGAAAAACGTCTGCTTTGAAGCTGGTAAGTGTTAGTTTTAGTGTTCAATTTACTTCTTGCAGGTGAGATTGCCGGCTGTCTTCTATCCGGACGTAATCCTTGGCTGTGTACTTTACATGCTTGCATTGGGAGCTCGTGTAGCCCAGAGACGTTAGGCAATCTGACACGTTCTTCTGCCAGTTGACAAATGGATATAGACATTATTCAGGTTTCATTAATTAATGAAACGCAATTCTACTATTAAACGTAGTTACACAAAGTGTGTGCTTTGGTCTAGATCTGTTATTACGCTTTTATTATTGCATTCTTATTTATCTAATTCTCTATATTTAAGTATTTTAACTATAATTGCCTTTCGTGTTACTAAATATCACAGCTGAAGCTTAGTGTGTTTAATATAATACCACATTTTTCGAAAGAAAAAGAAAATCTGTCTCACCTAATACGGAGGTCGTGCTAAAATGGCGGTCGTATACCAACGACGGTCTGTGTTCGCTGACAAAAGTCGTTGCAATATCCAATCTTTCTTTCCAGTGGATTTCTCAGAAATATACTATTTTTCAATAAATTAGGTAACCGAATGATGTTTCTTCAAGTCCAATATTAGTATGATAAGCGTAAGTTGAAACAACTTGTACAGTAATGTAAACTTGAAACAAGTTTACATTACTGAAATTCGTATTAAAGAATACTTGTTTATTACATGTTGCTAGTGTTTGTTATTTACAGCTTTTCAAAATAGACACATTTGGCCAACGAACTCCATCACCTACTTCTGTGTTTTCAAGGTTCGCATACATTTTTTTTTTTGAAAAATGAAGGAATTGTATTTTGTTTACTTAATACTTGTTAAGTTACGAAGCGTTGAAAGCTTGTAATTGCTCTAGGATATCTCACCAGTAACTTGGATCTAATTTAGTGAATTTAGAAGTAATCTATATAGAATATAAGTATTACAAAGACATTGGCAACATTGTCGCGGATTACCGGTTCCAAATCGCGCACACAATGCAGTGATACGGTTAAGTTACTGAATAAAAGCTAATTTAATGAAAACGCCTGTCTGTTGCTAATGGAGATCGCTTTGTGGCTTGATAATAAATTGAAGATCCTTAGACTACACGAATCGTTCATAACTTCTCCATAGGCCATGTGTCAGAGGCTTCCAGCAGTTCTACAGAAAAAGCTATTTTAGAGAATCGTTTCAAATTTTGCAATATGGAAACGGAGTGATACTTTATTGAATAATACACGGTCTTTAGGGCATAGCTCAAAACTTAACAGAGCCGGCCTCGCCCGCGAAAAAGCGAAGCTACGATCGGTGCATTACAATACGCGTAACGTACTTAACATAATTAATAATAAATAATATTGGTCTTTAATATTCTCTTTATATATATATATATATATATATATATATATATATAGCTATATATATATATATATATAGCTATATCACAGGCCTTCCGAATACTTGCGAAAGCTTCAAGGCGTCGTATATGCATGTAAAAAAAAAATAACAAAGTTTGATGTCTAGAGGATTGTTAGTTCAGCTGTATTTATCCCATTTCATGTCTGCAACCCAGTTCAGCACCTAATACGATGTACCCAAATTTTTGGTGTACATTTATAGAGCATAGATGCCTTGAATTAATAGTAAAAACTGATCAGCTATAGTCATGAAATCAGTTGAATCGTTCCATTCTTTTTTACATTTCATAACGACGAAAGGTTCAGTGGCTTACTGTTTTCTCTTATGCCATTGCTTGAACAATTTCTTCAGTTGTCACGGGTATCGATCGCTTTATGGATGTTTCCGCATTCGCGACAGGCACTAACGATGCGTGCGTGCACGGCACATTAATTAGATCTGTACCTCACTGGATAGGCACAAAAAACTGGCAGTCAAAACAACCATTTATTATACGTAAAGGTTTTTTGGCCTATCTTGCCTCGCTAGGAGCTAGACTTCAGATGAGTTCCTGTTTTTCTGATTCTATCTGATTCTAGTCTCGGGTAAGGAGAGATATAATATTTATATGAAAGGCACGGACGTATCATTAACCATAGGTATATCATCATAACCGATTTCAATTATCCTGGCTATCTCACAAATAAAACAGCCGTCTTTATTGATCTGTCAATTTTAACGCCTTTGCAATTTCATGCACCAATAAGGAGTATAAAAGCATTTTTATCAAAATATAATTCTAACCTCTTTTTGTTGCGCATTGCACGAGAATAGATAACCATCAGATCTCCAGTTTTTTACTGGTATAGTAAGCAGAAATTCAAGTTCATGTTTACTCACGAGTGTATAAATACATGTTTCTCAGACATGTTACTCGCTTCGACAGAGTTTTTTTTGTATTGGAGGTTACGCAGACCAGAATTGTGCTTTGTCTGGTACTGTGGGACTCTCACCCACATGGAGGAATTTACATGGTAAGCATTTAATGAATTTTTTCATTGACCAGCATTGATGCTATAATTTGCTCTTAGCTATATGGATGCTAAGTCTAGTCACACAAGTATGCCTTTACTGTTATGCGTCTAGAACTAACTCTTAATTGCCTAATCTTGCTATGGGTACATGGAAACGGCATTTTGGGCATGATTAAACTGATCATTTTTTGCTTCTCATGTACCACTAACTTTACTGGAGGTTTGCTATCAAGTATGAGCCAGCCACATTCTAATCAAATTGTGAAGTTCTTTGAAAGCTTCTGTGCTTGAAACCGCTTCAAACGCTGCGTCACACTAACGGAGGCTCGTAGAAATATACTACAACTGCTGATCGTAATAACCGTGTGAACTAAAATGTTATCTACCTTTGACTATATCATTAGGCCTCGTCTAGGAGATACATGCTGTCTGATAAAATGATTAGGATCAGACCCGAGGAAGCGCCTGCTACTTAGAGAAGCATTTGGAACCCGAAACTACAGATATATAGTAAACCTTTCCTAAAGATTGGCTAACGTTAAGTATTTCCCCTGGTATTGAAAAATCATGAATGTAGTTACATAGTGTAGCTGGCGCAGAGCAGCACTCAACGAGCAAATAAAGGACGGCGACCCGCTCGGCACAACCAAAGCATGGCGTGAACAGATATTGCACATGTCCAAAGGGCTGTTTCCACGAACTCAAAGCCGCAGTACAAGACCAACCAGACAACACGGATACAGACGGTGGCTGTAATAACTACTACCAGTGGTATCCCGGTCATTGCATGAAGCAGTAAACGTCTTGCAATTGTGAAAATGCGTCACGCTTGGGGCTTTCGCTGAAGTCCGCTTTTATTCAAGCTAGTGTATTGTAAGTAGTACTCTTTTGAATGAAGTGGATTCAAAGGGGCCCACGCCTCTGGTCTCTGTAGCATGGGGTCCGGCCGCCCCAGCCATGGGGTCACTGTACTCTTCCGATAGATATTGAAGCGAATGAGACTTTTTTACACGGTGACCCAATTATGGTCACAACCTCCCGGTTAAACATACACGTCTGATATATGCATCCGACCTCCGTGGAGAACATTTGCGGATAACTCTAGTTACTACATCGATAAATTCATATTATACTAACTGACAATTTAAATAGAGGGCTTAACAAGCAGGACAATCCAAATAGGCTAGCTTCACTTCCAATTTTTCAGGAATAGAGCTCATTTAGCAGCGCCGGATGAGCAGTTCTGTTATACTTGTCCATTCCAGGTCCATCAGCAAGTTGAGTTGTGCTTTCTATAGAGAATAGAGAGAACTCATAGAGGCGGTAAATTTAAACGGATATTTTGTAGGAGTGCAGCTCAGGCTTGGAACCGTCGGTATTTCCAAACCTCGTCGCCACGTTCGAATCTCTTTTCTTCGCAGTTCCCAATGCAACTTGTAAAAAAAAAGTATGCGCCAACGTTTAAGAAGGTGCTGTCTCCATTGAAGAATGGACCCCTAAAAGTCATCAAGACCTTGATTTGACGACACTGGTAAAATTGTGAAACGTAGTTCTTTAGCCAGCATAAATGAACAGTACAAGCCACAAGCGTGGAAGTTGTCCATTCCTCCACATATGTGTTTAAAACCTGCTCACAATATCTGCTATGTAGTAGGAGCAGTGTAGTTTGAGCTGCGAGATGTTTATAACCACCTGTTCAATCTTGACTCGCCCTTTGACATAATGCAACACGTTTTCGATCAGATTCGAACCGGGTGACTTCCCAAGCCAGAATCTCAACACTGTTAGTGACAAACACTCTAAGAGACACATTTTGACATAGTGGCTTATCGAACCTAAGGCAGAATTTTATGTTACCTCACTGTTCCATAATCCAATTGACGAACTATAGAGCTCTCGCTGTAAATATCATTATTTTGCTTGAATGCTTGATTTGCTAAACTAAGTAGGACTCATACAATCTGTTGCTAGAACACTTGTAGACGTGTGGGGCACGTTAGCACCAAAATTCTTAAAATACAATTCATCTGAAATGCAAATCCCTTCCAATCTTTAGAGTGGTTTAACACGCGTACCCTCTGCACAGTTTTTTTCGGTGGCTGGCTGGTGGCAGTCGAAACCATTAATTTGGATACGACGTCGTAGGATGTTTGTGAAGGCAGCAACCCGACGCCCCACCACCTTCTAATGTAACTACTACAAATCGGTTTTTTCAGCTCTGATCCTATCTTCTGACCCCGTTGCGCACCACTTAGTTTGGGTTCCCATTTTTAGTGATGCCAGAAATGCCTTATTTTTTTTTTTTATCCCCTAAGCTAAATTGCCGGCTGTACACTTCGACCCGCTTTTCTTTTGTGGGTTTGGCGATAGAGTCTGCTGCTGTTCCGTGAGACATTTTCCCAATCCCATTATTATCGGTAACAAAAGCACTCAAATCAGTCAATGGAAATACTTGCAATCGACTTCAGGATAACAATAATAACGACTCTAGTCGCACAGGCTGTGTAGCTAGCTGTGTTTGTCGCCGGTGGGACTTAAAAATAACCTATGATCACGACAACGTAATGGACGAGGGTAACGCCATTAGCTACACCCCATTTCGAGTCATGTATGTCTTTAAAAAACGAACTCTGGCACGAAAATTGCGTGTAATCGCTCGAGCGTTGCGATGGATAGCCAATACACGCAATTTTCGTACCTCGCAAAAATGCTCCTCAAGCAACAGTGTCATCACATGCTATTATCAGAACACAAAGGGAGGCAGCTTTCTGCGGCGTGAAGATATCTTCAAAGGTAACCATACTCGATTGACCAATGGTTGTTTATGTAGTACATAAATTATCAACAGATAA